AAAATAATAGAAAAACAATAAAAAAAACTTAAAAAGGGGGGAAGGGCAAGATAATGGTACATTATAAAAAGTCATAACATACACAAAATGGATAAAAATTAAAGGAATACAGGTTACAAAATTATGACCTTGAAATGAATGATATAACATCTTCCAATAAAAGAGATATAAATAAAATTGTTAATAGCATATGGACCATGGATACGTGATATAACGTTATCCAAATAATATAAAATTATATAATACAATATATAAAAGAATATTTAAAAACTATTTGAGAACTATACGTGCATGAAAAATGGCAGCTGATGGATGTACGTTTGAATGGTATAAGAGTTGTGAAAAAGTATGACAAATGGCAACCTATCTGTCTGAGGAGTGAATACTGGAGACAGGTATATAAAGGCATTTGCAAAAAAGATTTTTATCTTTATATAGACCAGCAAATGTTCATGGGTAAACGTTCTTTTTGGCTGACTCATATCAAAACTCTATATATTGTATTATAAATAATATAAGTAATCCAAATTGATTCATTCTTTACATATGAATTGTAAACCAACAATAACTCAAGGAGAACAAGGAAGAGAGACCACCCACATGAAGAAATTAATTAATTAAAAGAGCAAAAAAAATATATATAATAAAGAATAATGATTATGATGCAGAATCATAGAGTAGTACTAAACAATGATATTAATCATTAACAGAGGAAGAATGTATATATTATATTATAATTTAGTAGCTATCTCTAGTTCTTCATTGAGGCCAGCAGGGGACAGTGTGTCAAGAGTATGGATCCAAAAGGTTTCCCTATGGCAGAGCTTGTGGAAGCGCTCTGCCTTTGGAAGGTCGGTGGGCATGGACTTGTTCACCCAGACCCAAAGTCCAGTTTTGCACTTATTATGGACCTCTAGAAATTGTCTGCGAATACTATGTTCATCTTTTCCGCCCTCGATTAGGCGACAACGTTGACCAAATCTAAAGCAGAGGGTCCGGATAGTAAGGCCCACATAAAGGAGATCACATGGGCACGTAAGGCAGTAAAAGTCACCCAGATTGTAGTTTCTGCCCTTGGTACTAAATTCTCTTTGACCATTCTCTTTGACAAAAGCACAAGTTTTGCATAGAGATTTCTGACATTGGTACATACCAATGATGGGTGTAGAGAACAAATAAGGTGCTAGAGCAGATTGAATAGATTTTAGCTTACTGGGGGCTATTTTATTTTTCATATTGGGAATTTTTACATATTTCTGTAAGTGATGGTGGGTTTATTGGGAATGATGTCTTTCAGATGGGGGTCCTCAAATAAGATGTTCTAGTGTTTTTGTAGGATGTGTTTCATCTTTCGATGTTTGTCATGGAAGCTGGTGGTAAATCTGACTATATGGTCAGGCTCAGCGTTGGGCCTGATTGTATTGGGTTTGCCTGGAAGGTACAGAGTATAAGCTTCTTCTATTAGTAGCTCAGGGTAGCCCTTTTCCCTAAATGTATTTTTGAGAGTAATGCTGAGATTGATTTAATCAGATTGTTTCATACAGTTTTGTTGGAGGCTGCAAAATTGGCTCTTTGGTATATTGTGTATCCATATAGGATAATGACAGCTCTGACAGTGTAAGAAAGAGTTCCCTGCTGTTGGTTTAGTGTAATTTTTGACTATAATTCTTCCATTATCATGGCTCATTTCTAAATCTAGAAAGGCAAGACGATCAGGATGTTTCTCTGATGTGAAAGATAGGCCAAAGGGATTGTTGTTACAATGAGCGACAAAGTTGTCTATAAGGGGTGTGGGTCCATCCCAAATGACAATAATGTCAACCATGTAGTGACCAAAAATTATGAGATGTGCAGCAAAGGGATTATTATGCCAAATATACGTAGAGATCACCCCAATAGCCCATGGCTAATTTGGCATAGGAGGGTGCAAAATTGGCACCCATAGCAGTCCCATGGAGCTGTAGAAAGACGTCTCCATTGAAATTGAAGTAATTGTGGATTAAATAAAAGTTGGTAGCTTAAAGTATAAAGTCAGCTTGTTTGGGATTGATGAGGAGGTCATAGGATAAAAAATACTGTAGGGCCTGGAGCCCCAAATGATGAGGACTAGACGTGTATAATGAGATAACATTCAGAGAGGCTCAACTGTAGGTGGAATTCCAGTCATATGGTGTACTTACAGCATATGACTACATGTATAAGGTGGGCTGCATCTCTGATGTAGGTTTGTAGACCTTGAGCTAGTGGCTGTAAGAAAAAATATATGTACTCAGAAAAACAGCTCTTGATACTATCTATGGAGGCGACTATAGGTCTTCCAGGGGGTTGGTTAAACTCTTGTGCAATTTTGGAAGATGGTAAAAATAGGGTGTGTTGTAAAATGTTTTACGTAAAAAGGAGGCTTCTACTTTGGTGATAACTCCCTGGGAAAGGGCAGAATCAACCAGGGAGTTGGCCTCTATTTTAAATTCAGGTAGAGGGTCTGTCTTCAGTTTGGTATATGTGATGGAATCAGAAAGTAGTCTGGTGTCCTCAGCTATATAGTGTATTTGATCTTGTAAAACTATGCCGCCACATTTGTCTGCAGATTTAATGATAATATTGGTGTTGTTAATAAGGTTTGTTAATGCTTTTTTTCTCAAAGGGGTGGAGGTTGTCGGATGCAGATGTTTTGGTTTTACATAATTTTATAAGATCTGAATAGACCACTTAGTAAAAGGGGGTGGTGCTGCGCTACCCCAATACCAAATATAGAATAAGTGAAATGAATAGAATGATGGGAACTATGCAGCAAGTGAACAAATAAATAAGTGGATCATAAATAGCCATTGTCTTGTGCTAGTATTGGTGTGGCCCAAATACAGTAGTGAGTAATGGTAATTCAATGAAGATAACGCGCTGTTGTAAATGCTTAAAGCAAAGATCTCCTGGTACTGAGGTGTAAGGGTGTCTGCATTCAGTGTCTCTAAAGTGTTGTCAGAAAGAGGTTGGGTATTCGCCCACTCGAGAATCCCATGGATAGCATGGCCTCCTAAGAACAAGGCTCTTGCACAGGCTCTTGGCTGTTCACAGAAAAGTGCAGCATTACCGCCTGATAGCCTGTCAGTGCAGCAAGTAGAGATGACTAGCTAAAGACTGGATAGTGACAGTCCCAATGCAGAGAAGCTGATGCGATTCCAGCGTGGCGATGGCAGTCACCGCTGTGCTGAACTGGTATGCAGAGTCCTGCAGTGGTAGCCAGAAATCTGTCTCCGGAGGAGAACTGCAGTCCCCCTGTGTTCAGCTCTGAATCCTGCATCCGTAGAGTGAGACAGTTCCTTACTCTAGAAAATATCTGCTCTCCCAGCAACCTTCTGGTCCCCCAGCTCTCTGGTATTTGTAGTTCACTCAACACTCAGAAATGCAGTATGTATTGACTACAGGTTCCAGGAACTTCCACTGTCAGAAGAACTGGATCCACTCTGCTAACAGTAAGTTATGTGGTAGGACCCAGTAGTGGGCAGTAGGGGAAAAAAAGGATTAACCATAGTCTCATATGTAAATGTCCCTGAATGGCATAATGATATAGCCAGCACCTGGCTACAGTAGCAAAAAAGAGTCCCACCGAGTGAGCAGGGTTCTATAGGTATGCTCTATGGGCAGGCCTAGCAAGGGTTTTTCCCAGTCACCTGAAGTTAGAATATAACCCATGATCTATAAATACAAGTTCTGTTCCCTGTACTGTTCAATTAAGATAATGAGACAAGTGCAATATGGTTCATGGACAGCCATTCAAAATTAATGATATGCCTTACTGCAACATGTTTTAACATGCATGCAATAATCATTGCAACACAGTGGGTTAATGTGAATCCCCCTTAGAGATGATACAGAAAGCTTAATTGCTGAACCAATAAAGAAGTGTCACCTGAATAGATGTGCAAATCACAAGAGTTGGCAGAAGGATGTACAGAATTTCTCTGTAGAGAAAACACATTTCAGTTGTCTATTTTGTTGTCTGCCTTAGGGTTCTACTTACATTTTATGCAGCAAAGTATAGGTAAGCTAGATTAGCCTGCCTCACCATACTCCCTGCTGTGAGATTTGGAAAAGGTTGTGCTCTGTACCTTGTACAATAATTCTCTGACCAGCCATATGGCACTGTAACAAAAGTTCCAGGGTGCATCAAATGAATTATCAACACAGAATGACCATGTGAAGAACTGAGGCCCAGAAGGAAGAGAAAAGTCCAGTATCAAAAGCACTATCCATGTTGTATCTCTAAAGTTCTGTTACCAGCCATGATCATGAGAACCAAATCTTGAAAAAATATTTGGATGGAAGCATACACAAACAAGATGATGGCAGCCAAGCTGGTCATACACTGGAGGCTGAAAACACCCACACACCTCAGTTTTCCAGTCTTGCTTTACAAGGTAGTTGAACAAATCTCCTGTTACAGTGAATTAATTTTGACAGCTGGCCCTACCAGCTTACAAAATACCTGAACAGCGGCTGCAGCTGACTGGATGTAACCGCTTTTTAGCCGACAGTGCCACCCACTATGTGAATTTCAGCTGGTTCCTTAAGAATTTTGTAAAGTGTATGGCAAGCTTTAGTCAATTTTCCAAAGCACGCTAAAAACACAACCAAATCAGCCATGAGATAGCATTACACTCCTTATCCCTGAGCAAGTCTTCCATTAGTTGAGCCCAATGCTGGATGGAGAAGAGGATCTTCCATTGCTTTTTTTTTTTTTTTTTTTGTAAAAAGGATTGGAATTTTAGTATAAAAACAATGTGTTACCAATGTAAGCACATGATTTATCACAGAACCAATTTTACTCACACATACACCAAAAAAAGTTTAGATGCTTCATTGTGTATCATAAATTTGTATAGATTAACAGGTGCTTAAATGCCAACACCAGGAGACAAAATATCACTGTATTATGTTTTGTTTATTACTGAAGACACAGCCCAAGATTAAACATTGTCTCATATCATCAAGGACAATATATTTCACTGCTTGTCGTTGCCATTGATTGGTCTGTTCTTGTGGGCATCACTGGAAAGGAAGGCTTTAACCTTAGGACGACTGGTGATGCGGGTGACATAGGCAGACAGGAGAGGGAATCCCGAGAAGCAGCCTGGAGCCAACACCTGGTGGTTCATGAGCATGTCCACAAGGTTATAGTCTGCATAGGAAATCTAGAGTGAAGAAAAAAGTCTGTCAGTATTATATGGCTTAAAAAGGTTCAAGAAATTGCCCTGAATGTGTCATACAGTAATGTCCTTTTACCCTCTGGAGGACAAAGCAGGCCATACAATGCCCTTTCCACATATAATGTGGATGTGCACCTTTCTGCACTGCCAACACCATATTTTAACAACCTTAGCATTGTGTTAACTTCATGAAAACATGCAAAAATGTTACATTTTATGCCACACACGTTAAAAAATTTGCATTTTAGGTCTTTCTTCAGTTCCCCAATATTCTTTTTGTGAATTGGTGCCAAATCTTCCACAGGGACTGCACTGTCTTACACTGCAGTCACATCAAGCCCGACTTTGAAATCATGCGACTTACAGTGAAGTCACATGATTTTAAAGTCAGGGAACATGCAAATTTCATGTGCGATTTGCAAGACATCTGACACAGATGTCTATGCAAATTGCACCAAAAGTAATGCATGTACTACTTTAGAAATCAGTGCGGCTCTGACCAAGTCAGAACTGCACTGATGTGACCACTGTAATTTTGGACAATAGGGTGCGACATGGCATACGATTTGAAAGCAGGGCATGTAAATCGCATGCAAAGTTGCACCCAGTGTGAACAAGGTCTTAGTGAGATGGCATGTTTCTACGGTTTAAACTATTTTACCTCTTTATTAGCACCATTAAACTGAAAGGGGTTCTAATTCTTCTCCACTGTATCCATCCCACTTGATATCAGGTCATGAGATAAAATATGTTATTTCATCAAAGTGTGAGGTATTTTACCCCTGAAACCAATGCGATATTTTATCTCAGATTTTAGGAGGAAAAAACCTCTTTTGAATTGTGCCCCCGGTCCCCAGACTATGAATTTACTTGTAGTTTACCTTGTTTAGATATACCAAAGGCCCAAGACTTTTGCTGGGCACCACCATCTTTGATGTTATGTCACCATTTCTATCAGACTCACAGCCATCATTAACAGTTGTTTCTTAGGAGACACATTCACTCCAGTCATCCCTCTCTTTTGTGGTCTGTGCTGGCCTAGCAGAGGAGATGGGACAGCACAGACCATACTCGGACTCCCAGGAGAAAAAGATAGGGCTATGACATGGTAGGATGGAGGCAGCAACTAGAGTGGTCAAATCTTCTAGCCAGTTTAAACAAATGCTGCAAGTAAACCTTTAGAAAGCTTAATTTTCCAGTGCTTTTAACTGCATATTTTAATGTAGCACCCTCCTAGATAGCTAGGTGGAGCTGGTGAAAAATTCAGGTCAGAGCTCTGCAGGTCAGTTCTTTGATACCTCCCCCTGCTCTAGAGATCTTGAAGATCTTGAAGATTCTAGAAGCAGTGGGAGGGGCTGGCCTGCACACTTAGGAGACCCTAGCCAATCCCCAAGTAGGAGGCTTTTCATGGGGCAGGGCAGGGCAGCCCTTAAATGTGAATGAGCATGCTCAGCAGCAGGAGAGTTCAGGTGGAAGATGAAGTGAGAAGCTGGAGAGCAGGAGCCTGGAGGGAGCCCAGGTGGGAAGGGGCTCACCTACAGGAAGGGAAGCTGGAAAGGAGGAAAGCTCAGGATCTCATCGGTCCCCAAAGCATGGACCACAGTAAGGGAAGGAGTGACCCAGCAGAAGGCCTGAGAGCAGCCACCGACCCATCAGCTCACAGACAGAGGACTGAGTGAGTAGAACTACACCTCCTGGGCCATTAAGGGGAAGGAGCACTTTAGTGGGAAACTGGATAAGCTTATATTTAAAGTGACAGGCACTGGATCCCCTGCCCAGGGATTCATGCAGAACAGCTGGATAAAGGAGTATCTGGGGTCTGGGGTGGTACATCAGGAGATACTGGCTAGCTCTCTATAAGATAATTGTTGCTGTAAAGAGACTTGTACATAGTTACAGAGAGATTGTCCTCAGTTGCCATTTCCTTTGGGCATCCCATGCATCCCTTGCCCATTCAAGTTCAATTCTCCTAATAAAATAAAAAAAAAAACAAGCTCAAAGACTGGTCACTGTCTCCTGGATGCAACTCTGTGTGAAAAATGCATGTTGCCTGGCTGTGCAGGACTATAAGGGGACCCAAAACTCAGCGACTCCTAAGGGGGTAGTGCTATATTATAATAATGGTGAAGAGTAAAGGAGGCAAGACTTATCTTATGGTACATGACCTAACACTGCAACAAGGTGACAAATCACTATTGTGGGGGACTTTTGCTCCATTATGATGGCTGGAGGCTGCAGAGATTAAGCTGTGCACTGGCTTTACAATGTACTATATGAGGCAACAGAACATCTAGATGTAGGGAGTCAAGTCCTCAGAGTATGAGCAACAGGGGCATAGCAAAAAGGTAGATTGTCCAAAACAGAGCCGCAGACAGACACTGGAGCTTATATAGAGAAGAAACGAACCATATAGATTGGGAATGCTAGAGCAAAAGAAAGGGAATGAGGAAAACAATTGTTATGGATCCTGAAACAAATCAGTTCAGGATCAAGCATTTCACACGCTGAATGTTCACAGGAATGACTGCTGTGGGCTGGAAACCACCATGGCCGGGATTGTCACTGGCAGAAGTATGACCATCTTTGAAACGTTTGACAGTATTCAAATGTGCTATTGCAGCTGAGCGTCTTATCACTATACTGTACTTGAAGTCTTCTGCAGATATCAGCAGGTTTTATACCTTTGCTTACAAGAAACTTCATCACCACATGCTTTTCCATGCACACACCAACACTGCTGTCTGCCATCTTGATTAATGGTCTCTGGACTGGCCCGTGGCATGTGCGCCGCCTATCAGTAATATGACACAGTTATCACTTACCATAGTGTGTAGTAGTACCATAGTACCTGTAAAATTAAAAGTCCTGGTTTGACTTGAACACCCCTTGTATTTGCTTATTTGTAATGTAGCATGCTAGACTTGAAACATGAAAAACGCTAAAGGGTACCATGTCCTTTTCAGCTAGAAGTCAGCCTGGTAGCATAATTCCTCAGCACTGAAAGGTGCTAATGTGGGCTAAATGAACCAAAGGCCATCCACTAAAGCAAGGCAAAGCCAGTAGAACAGAAGGTATCGACATGTCAGGCATGTAATACAAATCTAAACATGCAATAGATTACAGCCAAAATCCATGCAGCCTGAAATATGACCAATATTTGTTAATAAAAGCCTAGAGATCCATAGTCTTAAATGTGTGAAGTGTTTTAAGATCACTTTTCCACTCTGCAATTTGTTTTCCAGTTGCAAGAATAAAAAGTTAGAACAAGAAATTAAATCCCCGGATAAATCTACTTCCACACAATACCAGATTCTCACCTGATCTCCCACAAGAAAGCCTTTTCCTCCTTTATTTTTAAAAAGGATACGCTCAAAATGACCGTGCTCAGTGTGAAGAGCCTTTATATAATCTTCTTTTCCATTTTCCTGAAAGAGGGAAAACAATTCACACACCTCAAATCAATTAAGGGTGAAGACTTGTGTTACAAAACCTGTACTGCCAAGTCATACTTACATAGTTTTCGTAGATGAGATTAACATACTTCAGCCTGAGATCTTCCACTCCATCATTTACCATGTCTATCTGTGCAGCCTCAACTGGAGTTTTCCCATAGAGACCTAGAAAAAGAACAATTTTTAAAGGATAAGTTCATCTTTGGGAACATGCTACATGTTCCAACCGTTATTGGGGCTCCTCCACTCCTCCTACCACTCCATCCCCCACAGCCATTTCCTCCTGTACCACTATCCCCTCCCTCCTAGATTGTAAGCTCCAAGGAGCAGGGCCCTCGAACCTCTCGTGTATTGTATTGTTACTGTATTGTCTCATGTTCTGTCCCCCCACTATAATGTACAGCGCTGAGCAAACTTTTTGGCGCTATATAAATACTGTATAATACTAATAATAACAACATGTAACATGTTCCCAATACTGCCCACTGCCCCCCCCCCCCCCTCCCTGTGACAGAAGTATGGGGAGAAGTTCCCCGTTCTAGCTGTCCCTTTTTAAAAACAGCGCGGCCGTGTGGGGCTCAGTGTTCTGTGAAGTCTACAACTACTGTGAAGCCGTGGTAGTTCATTGAATCATCTTGTGCTTGCCCGCACATCTGGTGCAGGCAAGTAGATACAGATCTGCAGGAGACCTGCATGGCATCAGCAATCTACTGATCGCTGGTGCAAAGCTTTGCAGACTCCTGCAACCGAAAATAATAAATGCACATTTTTTTACCTGAAAAAAATGTGCATTTGTTTTTTTTGGTCAAAAGGTGAACTTATCCTTTAATTCTAGCTGACAATGGTGTAGAGCAGTGGTCTCCAAATTATGTCCCTCCAGCTGTTGAAGTACTACAAGTCCCATCATGCCTCTGCCTCTTGGATTCTTTCCTGTGGCTGTCAGAGTCTTGCAAGGCCTCATGGGACTTGCAGTTTCTCAACACCTGGAGGGCCATAGTTTGGAGACCAATGGTGTCCAGCTACCCTCTTGAGGGCTGCTGTGTTTCTTGGTCCCTTCAAGCTTCACACAGCCACGCAACATGCATTTTCCACACTTGCATCCACAGTCAGTGAACAGTCAATGAGCTTGATATTTTGTTATTTTATTAGGGGAAATAACTTGGATAGGGTAATAGGGGCTATGGGATGTCCGACTTGATTGAATCAATGCACAGGGACAACTTCCTTCCTATTTACAGAAACAGATCCTGGACTGTTCTTCTCCTTGAATGCGGTCAGTCTTTACAGAACAGTAGCAAAAGCACTTTATGGGCTAGGGACTCTCAGCCCTCTGAAAGTTGGCTTAGATTGTTACAATCTACGTGCATAGATATTTGCTCTCCTCTGTAGAACTGCTCCCAGGTCCACAGCCTGCAGACACTACCAGCCCTCTTGGCTGCTCTGAAGATCTCCCAGGGCAAGGAGTAAAGGATAATTTCACCTTTCGTAACAAGTTACACCCATATATTCAGGGTGTAACAAGTTATGATCAGATCAGCCCCGAATCTCCCCCTCTCCCCACTTTGACAGCTAGCGGGGGATCTAATCTCAACTCTGCCCGCGTCACTCATTCACAGTCCTCTGTGAATGAGAGATTATAAGTCCTCAATGAACTACCACAGTACTGAGGTAGTTCATTCATTCTTCCTGTCAGTATATCTGCTTGCATGTATGAACACCCCATACAAGCAAGCAGATATACTGACAGATCTGCATGAAACCTGCATTGCACCTGCAGACAAAAATAGTAAATGCACATTTTTTTACCTGCAAATAAATGTGCATTTATTATTATTTTTTACTAAAAGATGAACTTATCCTTTAAGCACAATGCTGTCCTTTAAAAGCTTGCTGCATGTGGCAGTCTCTGCCATTGTGAATCCCTTGGTGTGCTGATGTACTCACTCTGTCCTCCTTGCTCCCACGCAATGATCCTGTTTATACCGTGATGCTGAATGGATCTTCCTGAGCCAGCCTGAGCCCTTCCTGGAGGCTAGCCTCACTAGACCTTGGGAACCCATCCCAGGCCACCGACAGCCTCCTCAGCATTCCATCTTCTATCTGACTCCCCTGCTAGCCTGACTCTCCCATATTTATGGGTTTACCTCACCACATTACCAGGGCCTCCAAGCCTGGGATTGGTTAGATTCACATAAACATGCAGATTTAGGTGTCCACCCCTTCCGCCCACTGGCTTTTGAAAGCTTCCATGATCCTCCAGAACCAGGTGGAGGTGATAGAGTCCCAACCTGCTGAGTCACCCAGCCTGACCTGCAGTAACCTGACCTAATTACAGATTCATGCAGTTACCATTAATCCTACAACAATAATTTTACCTATACTAAAACTAGTAGCACACTATAGGGTGTTATAGTAGAAAAGGAAATCTGTCACTGTTCAAAACCAAGTGGAGCCACAGCATGTGGCAGGTTACTAGGCCTCAAAACACATGAAAAAGCACATAATAGCTGCCATAGGACAAGAGAGTTTATTTCTCAAGGACCTGTATCCCTTCCAAGACAGCCAAGTTAAAAAAAAAAAATTACCATGATTCCTAGCAAGATGGCGGAGAATGGCATTTGACTGATACATAGTGAAGTCTCCATCCTTGAATCCTGGAAGTTGACCAAACACCTGTAAAGCACAAAAACAGTCAGAAAGGAAAGCTAAATGCAGGTAACAGAAACCTTTACTGAGAACCCACAGTCTGCTTTTGATAACCTGAAACAGAGAAACCAATATACAGTATAGGCTCTGCGTGCTCAAACAACAATTGTGATAAAAAATGAATAAATGTAAATATAACAATACCATCATACTATATGTACAGTGCACTTATATGCAAAAACAATATATATATATTGCTGAAGTCCCAATCAGCGTGCGAACATATAGAAGTTCCAATGTGAAAAAATGTTGGGCTCAGTGGAGGATTGGGAAGGAGCTCAACATGATGGATGACTTTCTGAATAAGACTGAACAGCCAAAACAGCAAAGATCTGTAGTACAATATACTCCTAACACTGTAAACAAAGTGCAACTTAGCTGTCCAAAATCTTTGAAAAATGCCAATAAATGGCATTGATTAACTAAACAAAATATAAAATATATGTTAGAAATCATGAGGCCTCATACAATCTACCTGGCTGGGCCCCCTACCCCCTTAATATATCAAAACTATATTTTCACTAAAGATACACTACACTCTGATAAGAGGGTGTGATGGTGTGAAGGATCTATATTTATGTGTACCCTCATGGGCACAGTTGAGGTGTCTACAATTTACTTTGGACTTATATACTGTATATTGGGACTTTTTATATTTTGTTTATTCGCTTTTTGTTAATAATTTTGAAAGTGTTTCACTTTATTTTATGTTATTTATTTGAATTTGTTTGTCAGCAAATTGAGTGAGCTGCTATTTTTGCAATATCCAAGCATGGGTGTGTTTTGAACAATTTTTGGTAAACGATACACTAAAGTCATTATTAGCTGACACAAACAACCTAAGTTACAAAATTCCTGCTAAAGCTAAAAGAGTTTAAAAAAAAGTGTGTGTGAATGAGCTAATGGAGTTCATTTGCGAGGAACTGTGGCCTGTACAGTATGAATCAGTGTTTTTTATTTTTTATGTGGCTGCAGCTGTTTCCAGGCAGCTTATGTGATTCTCTGACAAGCATGTTAGTGCAGGTCTATGGCCCCAAACACAAACAGGTTGCATTAAGGGCCACTCTCTCACATGTGTCATAATAGGACCTGCGGCTGTGTTTATACAGCTGCTGTGTCCCCATAGAGTAACAGCCCCACAAACAAACCGCTCACACTGAAACTGGTCAGAAAACCTGGTGAATGAGTGAATGATTTATTTACAATTTTTTTTCACAATGCTGTTTGGGGGCGTTAGAGAAATATCAAGAGTCTAAACAAAAGCCATGATATCTCACATTTGAGACAGAGAAAAAGAAATAAAGAAGAGAGCACACAGATTTCCCTGTTCATTTACAAACTGAAGCATAGAAAAACAGTCTACTAGGCTTCAGTTTTGAATGAACACAGTGAGTGATCAGTATATTCACTCACTGTGTTCATTCAGAAAATGAAGGGGCCAGTAAATATGACCTATATACTGCTTCCCACCTTCACTCTCCATCCTGAAACAATCCCCCTCTGAGCCCTGCAGCAGCCAATGGCAGCAGAGCTGCAGGGGAGGGGGGCACACAGGCAGGCACGGGCAGCAGAGGGAAATGGAACCTGGACAGAAAGGGGTGATCAGTGCAGCAGGGGACAATTACTAGAACTTATCCCTGTAGTTTTCCCCTGTAGCAGCTGAAAGCTGGCGAGAGGGAGAGGAGAAAAGCCAGCTTGCAGGGGTGAACTACAGTGGGATCGGTTACAGGAATTGCCCACTCCGCTGCACTGATCACCCTCTGCTGTCCAGGATCCCCCTTCCTCTACTTGTCACCTGCCTGGGCCTCCCTGCTGAACTGATGGGGCCCGGGCCCCAAATAGGAGGGCCAGCGATACCCCCTTATTGGTGGCCCTGGTTGGGGCTGCTCATTTTAAAATGTGCAGTTATACACTTTTTGTCACCATCAAAATAGACAATTCCTTTTTGAAAATACTTACGGTTTCTTTTTTGAGGTCCCCTTTCAGCCAGTTATCATCATATATCACCACCTCTTCTGTCCAATCCACACCCTGATCAGCCATTAGCATGCGCATGGATTCACAGCGACCTGAGACACAAAGCAACAGTAAGGATATGCTAATAAAATATTTGCCAAAAATGTAAGTAGCCCCTACATTTGTTGCCTATTTTTTGAGCATCCAATTACCTTGCACCATATTTGAGAGATATTGTGTATGGTATTTGGTGCAGCCAAGTTTGGCATCTTGAATTTCATCGCTAAAAAGAAGATCCACCTCAAATGTGCCTGGACCCAGACAATTGGTCCATTTATTTGCTCTCAGTGCAGTCCGTGTCAGTATTTGTGGCTGCCATTTTATTGGTTGGTAGTAAGGTGTGCCACAATTCAACTAATCATGCAGGAGGCACATACAGTTGAACTGTTTCAAATCCAGCAACATAAGGCTAAAAGGGTAGAATGTCTTATCTTGGTTTTGAGTAGCATGGTGTTTGATGGTCAGTTTGACTTTTCCTAAGTTGCCTTGCCAGGTTAAGCTTTGATGCATGCCTTATAAAATTATATAAAATGGCACCCCTTGGACCTAACGCAGTACCCATTTGTCTTCCTTTAAGAAGACAAGTTCTGATTACCAAGATTACATTGAAAGTGGAAAAATGATATACAGTTTTCTTCCCTATGATTGCTACGTCATTCTTACATGATCATACCTATTTATAGGCAAGCTCTGATCGGTGTAAATGGTACATCAAGTCATGTTCTATGGTATGAGATAGTGGGCATAATAAAGTCAGAAGACCAGCCTTTTCATTTTCCTTTATGTCTGCATGTAGATGGGGTGGGGTTGGGACCACACACCATGTAGTGTGCAACTAAACTAATTAAAGCCATGTAAAATAATAGTTTAAAAATTGGCTATTTACCAACACTTCTTTTATTCCAATCACAACTCCATCTTTATTAGAAAGAATGATACAACTCTTCTGCAGGTCAAATTACTTTTATTTAGCCATGATTTAACTTTTACACACATTTTGCAGAATAAGGTACTGACCAATTAGCCAAAATTGACCAATTTCCCCAAGGGTTATTTTACCCTCTTCTAGGTCCAAACTGAAGTTGTAAAAGGTTGAACTTCTTGGGCTTTTTCCCTGACCTGGTTAGGTAAATTCAAACTATAGCTTTATAACTTTAATACCCAAAAAACAAATTAACTTTCAAAATCACATAAATGATAACTTTTCTTTTTACAGTTTAATTCTTAAGTTGACCATAAATGATCAAAATTGAATCCATTTATGGCTGTTCCTGCTTGACAGAAGTTGATCTAATGGACTGCTCTCGAACAGGACTGTTGGAAAACTTTACTTACTAGCCAGTTACAGCCGCTGATCATCATATAAGCTGAGGAGTCCCACTATCCAAATGTATTAGCAAAGTAAGGAGGATTCCTCCATCCACCTTGCTTGTGTGGATGAGGGAATTCAATTCATCCTTCAATCCTTAAGTCCTGTCAACCATTGCCTGAACAAAATGCATCTGAAGTCTTCCTAAAGATATCAATGATAACTTCAGACAGGGAAAATATGTAAATCAGACATATAAACCTGGCAAATTATGGTTACATAGCAGGGGCGGACTGACAACTCATGGGGCCCCCGGGCAATAGGGGATCATGGGGCCCCTGTGTCCTTGCCCAAATTCAAAAAAGCCTATGAAAAAGGTACCAGGGGCATCTCATGGGGCCCCCTACTAACCCCCGGCCCTCGGGCAGTTGCCGAGTTTCCAAATGGTCAGTCTGCCCCTGTTACATAGCAAGTGAAGGAATAGGTCTTGCTCACTTAGTTAACTACTTTTATGCAACTAGCGACAAGATGGAGATTGTTTCAGAACAAGGTCCCATAACAAAGATAATTTCTACTTACCTCTGGCATTGAAATACACGATTGTATATTTAGGCACTGAAAAATAAAAATGTGAAAGTGATGAAGGTATGATACCAACAACTGTGCTGAATGTATAAACCAGTGATAAATGCCGTTATTAAGCAAATAGTAACTGTGTATAACCACATAAGCTAAGCTGCCACTTTAAAAATAAATAAATCATATTAAAAAAACATTTTAACAAGTATTCAAGTGGCGCATAATCAATACCATACCATGCAAAAAAACAGTAAAGTGTATGAAAGTGAATAAAAGTATTCCGCACAAAAAAAAAAAATATATATATATATATATATATATATATATTTGAAAATAATTCTGCATAGTCCAAAAAAAGTCCAAATAATATCAATTAGTCCATCCAAAAAAAGATCACCACGTGAAAGAATCTTGTGCACAACAAGTGAAAAAAAAAAAAAGAATAAATGTGTGTGTGTGTGTGTACTCACCAGCAAGTGTTGCCTCCCACTCTCATGGTTGGCAAACCAGGCTTAATAGACGATCCTCAAGAGATAAATCAAACCTCCTCCTAATACTCCATACTCAAATGGCCAAGGGAAAGAAATGAGAAAATCCCAATGGGGAAGTACCAGCTAAAAGTCTCTTTATTGCCACAATAGACTGACACAAGATATAATGAATAAAAAGCCCAAAGATGTTAGCTTAAATCAGCTTAGAGTGAAGAAAGCCGAGCCAGTGCTCTCACCACCACCGGCCCTCGATCGCTGATGCTCCCACATCACTTCCGGTTGCCGCACAGCCATGCCTTGACGCATTTTGTCACATCCGGCTTAATCATAGGGGTGGCTGTGTGGTGCAGTGTACCACCTTTATAGTCTACTCAATTACCACAACGAAACCGATGATAGGTAAATCCCTCTTAACTGGAAGTTCCACCCAAAACCTGGCGGAAACATCGCTCCATGCAACTAGGGCAGGAGGGCAAACTCACTGAAAATACTTTTAAAAGATCCACTGAAAACTAAATGTTAATAATTGTATTACAAATATGTGTTTAGGTATTTATGCAACACCGTTGGGCTTAAATTACAAACCCTTATATAAAAAACATATATATATAAAATACATATATATATACCGTATTTTCGTCTTATACGCCGGTATAAAAAAAAATAAACAATAAACGGCATGCTGACACTTTTTAGGGGGGTGGTGTGGTGCCGCCGCCGCCCCCCCCTTCCAACGGAAGTGAAACTAAGTACAGGGGTGGGCAGGGGCTTCTGTTTCTTACCTGGCTCCAGTCCCACGACGATCCGGTCCAGGAAGCGCAGCTGCTCCCTCCTTCAGTTCGGCCACTGGATGTTCGTGCGGCTGCTCGGCTCCGCCTCCTCACCGGTGATTGGCCGCCAGAACTGTAGCTCAGGAAAGGCACACAGGCGGCCAATCACCGGGGAGGAGGCGGAGCCGAGCGGCCCCGCGAAAATCAAGTGAAGGTAAGTGTGCCGTGCACAGTTGCTGCTGCAACCATATATGCTTGCTGCAGCAGCACCATACTGAACAGGGGTCAGCAAGTGTCAGTGGGAGGAATAGTGCCCCATCATTGGTGTCACTGATACCAATGATGGGGCATTATTCCTCCCACTGACACCAACGATGGGGCACTTCCCCCCCCCCCCACTGACAGCAACGATGGGACACTATTCCACCCCCCACTGACACCAATGATGGGGCACTATTCCACCCCCCACTGACACCAATGATGGGACACTATTCCACCCCCCACTGACACCAATGATGGGACACTATTCCTCCCAATGACACCAATGATGGGGCACTATTCTTCCCACTGACGCCGATGATGGGGTGCTATTCCTCCCACTGACACCAATGATGGGGTGCTATTCCTCCCACTGACACCAATGATGGGACACTATTCCTCCCACTGACACCAATGATGGGGTGCTATTCCTCCCACTGACACCAATGATGGGGTGCTATTCCTCCCACTGACACCAATGACTGGGCACTATTCCTCCCACTGATACTAATGATGGGGCACTATTCTTCCCACTGGTGTGCATTGGAAGAGGGGTAGTCTTATACGGCGAGTATAGCCCAAACATTACATTTTAACAGGAAAAGTAGGGGGTCGTCTTATACGCCCAGTCGTCTTATACGCCGGAAAAAACGGTATATAAAATGCATATACTGTATATAAAAAGCATATTCATCACAAATCTTGTGATCAAAAAATCTATTAATATTAATAACATATCAAAAATATATTATTAAATAGAACAAAATAAAAATAATAATAATAATAATAATAAAATAAGCATAAAAATCAAGCACAAAAAATTTTAATTCAAATTAAAAGAGTGTATGGCCTTGACCCACAATGAATGGATATGAATAGCTCCACATCTCCAAACAATCAAAAATTGCCTATGAAGCAGTTAATATCCAGTTCTACATTCAAACCCACAGGTATCAGAGATTTAAGCAGAAAAATCAATTTTGTCTCAGTTTGGGAGAGGTCTCTTACTCTATTTGATCCCCTCCGTTTAGGGGGAATCCAATTGACCCCCCAAAATTTCAACATGGAGGGATTCTTCTGATGATATCGTGCAGTGTTCAGACTTCTATACTCAACACCTTGAACATATGCTATCTGACGAGACCGTCTATTGTCATTTAAACAAGGACCTGACCCATAAGTATAAAGAAGAACTTAACAATTTGATTAATTGTGGTTACCGAACCCATGTTCTCACTAAAAAGGAGAAAAGGTATCTTATACTGAACACTTGTAGGATACCAGTCATCTATACACTCCCCAAAATTCATAAGGACGCATTATGTCCACCTTGCCGTCCTTTAGTAAACGGTATAGGTTCGGTTACCACTATATGGGGGAATATTTGGACAAATTCCTTCAGATTAGTGTCCTACGTAGTAGGGCCTACCTGAAGGATACCAAGAATTTGCTCCAGTTATTGGGTGATATTAAACTTAGTGATAAAAAGGAAGTCTATTTAGTAACAGCCAATGTAGCATCACTGTGCACAATAATAGGTCATGACAATGCTTTGTTGGCTTTGAATTGGGCCTTGAGCAAAAGAGAAGATCTTTCACATGCACAGAAAGTTTTTTTGGGAAGAGCTTTGGACTTTTGTCTCATGCACAATTATTTTTGGTACATCAACATGTTTTTCAATCAAATGAGCGGTGTCGCAATGGGAGCAAAGTTTGCTCCCACTCTTGCCAATATTTTTATGGCTGAGTGGGAGGATAGATTTATTTTTCAACATCATAAACCAGAAGTAATACTCTATAGAAGGTTTATTGATGATTTATTACTTATTTGGGAAGGTTCGGAATCCGATTTACATTAATATATGGCTGCATTGAATAACAATAATAATCACATTAAGTTAGATTATCAATGGAACAAATGCTCCATCAATTTTTTGGATGTTACTATAGAAAGGCGAGATAGTGCACATACCACTAAAGTGTTTTTTAAACCAATGGATAGGAACAGTTATCTGTCAATTAGGAGTGGACATCATCCAGTGTGGTTAAGGAACATCCCTCGTGGACAGTTTATGCGTGTCAGGAGAGATTGTTTCCCATGAAAGTGATTATATCTCCTATCCAACATTATTAAAACGAGATTTCTACAAAAGGGTTATTCTCGGGACTTTCTTGATCAAACTATGCAGGAAGTCCTGTTGATACCCAGAGAAACATGTTTGTTGAACCAGGATAGAGTAAGTGATGACAAATATCAATGTAATTTCTTGTCTGATTATCACCGCCAGTATAAAGAGGTCGAATTCATCATACGACACTGTCAGGGAAGGCCTGCCGTAGTACAGGTGAAGCTCCACAACGCACAAATATGCACATGCGCAGGGTTCTGGCAAGCCGAGCAGATGTGCGGGCACCTGGACAGAGGCTGTGGTTGTCTCATTGCCGTATGGTCTTTTCCCCCTACTCGTGTTTCCTGACTTCTGTGATTGATTCCTGTTGCCAAACCAGCCTGTTCCTGACTTTTGCATGATCGCCTCCTGCCCTGACTTCTGGCCTGTCCTCGGATTATTCTTCTGCCTGCCGTTTTAAGCCTGATCTGTCTCGCCAATATTGAACCCGGCTCGTCTGACTCTGCTTCTTCAGCACACAGTGCTCCAGCATCCATCCATCCTGCACGGATACATCTGCACCCTGCTCTGGCCTACTACTCATCAGTCCAACAGCTGTTACCGAACAGATCTCAGGCCCTCATACCCCGCCGAGCTCCTGCGACCGCTGTCCCACTATCAGCAGTCCCTGAACCGGAGTTGTATGAGAGGTCTGCCTCTTCACATCAGGCTCACTACCCAGGTACATGACAGTACCATATGGCCATGTCTGAGCCTGCAAGAGGACCCTCTCCACTGGATGAGATATGTCATCACCTGGCAGCACTCACTCAAGCAGTGAAGACTCTGCAGGATGGATATGTGCACCTGAAGGAACGCATGCAAACACTGGCTACACCTGCTCCTGTGTCTGTAGATCCTGCTACGCCAGCCACGGCCAGAGATTCCACAGAATCCCGCACCAACACAGTTGTCACGATACCACCACCTGAACCCCGTGTACCTACTCCTGAGCGGTTTAATGGAGACCGAAGCAAGTTTAGAGCGTTCCGTAACGCATGTCAACTGTACTTCAATCTCCAGCCAAGAACCTTCTCTACAGAGACTGTTAAGGTTCATTATTTCCCTGCTTCAAGGTGAACCACAAAGTTGGGCCCATTGTCTGTTAGAGAGTCATCACCCACACCTAAATACCATGACCACTCTCTTTGACGGAATGGCCCAACTATATGATGACCCACAACGGACCACCACCGCTGAAGCAGCATTACATGTGCTCCAACAAGGTCGCCGGGCGGCCCAATATTATGTCACAGATTTTAGACGTTGGAGTGGGGATACAAACTGGAATGACGCAGCCCTGTGTCCCCAGTTCTGCTTGGGTCTGGCTGAACCCCTCAAGGACGAACTGGCTTGGGTTGGCATACCAGACTCTCTGGAAGACCTGATCGCTCTAGCCATCCAGATCGATCGTCGCCTACGTGAACGCAGGCTAGAAAGGTCCAACCATATTCCTAGGCCCACATTGATGCTACCTAAGTTTCCAGTCCACCCTAACCCTCCTGCTAGAAATCTTGATTCTAAAACATCAGACACACCTGAACCTATGCAACTTGGGCTGATTTGTCCCTCACTTACTCCGGAAGAACGGAATAACCTCTGCCTATACTGTGGAGAAACTGGCCATTATGTGCATTCCTGCCCAGCTAAGCTGCGTAAGTGCGTCTCTATCTCTTCTGCTGTTCCTCCACCATGTTCTATCAGCACAACTCACCTAGCTGTACCTATTTCCTTCCAGCTCCCCGGAAGAACTGTGTCGGTAACCGCGATTATTGACTCTGGGGCTTGTAGCTGCTTCATCGACCTAACCTTTGCAGCCCAACAACACATCCCGTTACAGCTGAAAGAACACAGGTTGAAAATATTTCTTGCTGATGGGTCTCATATTAAGTCCAGATTAGTAAACAAGGAGAACCCACCAATCCTGACTACTATAACTAATCATCACCAAGAATTACTACGTCTAGACGCAATCCCCTCCCCTCTGTTTCCTGTTATTCTGGGCCTACCCTGGCTACGGGCGCACGACCTCAAACAGGGGCGGACTGACAACTCATGGGGCCCCTGGGCAATAGGGGATCATGGGGCCTCTGTGTCCTTGCCCAAACTCAAAAAAGCCTATGAAAAAGGTACCAGGGGCATCTCATGGGGCCCCCTACTGACCCCGGGCCCTCGGGCAGTTCCTGAGTTTCCAAATGGTGAGTCCGCCCCTGCCCTCAAATTGACTGGAGGACCGGAAGGATCCAGTTTCCCTCTCCATACTGCCAAAGACACTGCTTACCCATGGCACCTTCAACAATACCTACATTACTTTGCATGGACTCTGATGCTGAACTCGCCCAAATAATTCCTCCAGCCTACCATGGCTATCTGGATGTCTTTAGTAAACGAGGAGCAGATATCCTTCCTCCTCATCGATCCTATGATTGTCCGATCGATCTACTCCCAGAATCTGAAATTTCCTTTGGGCACATCTTTCCCCTATCGGAACGGGAATTAGGAGTTTTAAAAGAATATATTGATGAGAACCTTCAAAAGGAATTCATTCGTCCCTCTACATCCCTGGCAGGAGATGGAATATTTTTTCGTAGAAAAGAAGGACAAATCCTTACGGCCTTGTGTGGACTATCGTGAACTAAATAAAATTACGGTGAAAAACCGTTACCCCCTCCCTCTGGTTCCTGAACTCTTCCAAAGACTTAAGACTGCAACCATTTTTACCAAGCTGGATTTAAGAGGAGCATATAACTTGGTTCGCATCCGGGAAGGGGATGAATGGAAAACGGCTTTTTTGTACCCGATTCAGCCATTTTAAATATCTAGTCATGCCATTTGGATTGTGCAACGCACCTACTACCTTTCAACATTTCATTAATGATATCTTCAGAGACTACCTTGACATTTTCGTCGTAATATATCTAGAAGACATCTTGATCTTCTCCACATCTCTGGAAATCCATCGAGAACATGTTAGAAATGTCTTGGGACGACTTCGCCAGCATGGACTATATGCCAAGGCCGAGAAATGCAATTTTGAACAGCAGAGCATCCCATTTCTCGGTCTGATCATCTCCACAGCTGGAATCAAAATGGATCCCCAAAAGATTTCAGCAATCCTGGACTGGCCGGTACCCTCAGATAAAAAGGGAGTCCAACGATTCATAGGGTTCGCTAATTTCTATCGAAAATTCATCAAGAATTTTTCAAGCCCCATCTCACCCATTACTCAACTCACCAAGCTAGGGGTTCGCTTCCACTGGACCCCTGAGGCACAGGCTGCTTTCAAATCTCTAAAGGAATTATTTACAGCTGCCCCTATTTTAAGCCATCCGGATCCCTTACTACCATACAGTGAGGAACAGAAGTATTTGAACACCCTGCGATTTTGCAAGTTCTCCCACTTAGAAATCATGGAGGGGTCTGAAATTCACATTGTAGGTGCATTCCCACTCTGAGAGACAGAATTTAAAAAAACAAATTCAGGAAATCACATTGTATGATTTTTAAAGAATATTTGTCTTGCACTACAGAACATAAGTATTTGAACACCTAAGAAACAGCAAGAATTCTGGCTCTCAAAGACCTGTTACTGTGCCTTTAAAAAGTCCACCTCTACTCCACTCATTAATCTAACTTAGTAGCACCTGTCTGAGGTCTTTAAAGACACCTGTCCACCCCACAGTCAGTCAGATGACAACTACTACCATGGGCAAGACCAAAGAGCTGTCAAAAGACACCAGAGACAAAATTGTGGACCTCCACAAGGCTGGAAAGGGCTACGGGCCAATTGCCAAGCAGCTTGGTGAAAATAGATCAACTGTTGGAGCAATTGTTAGAAAATGGAAGAGGCTAAAGACGACTGTCAGTCTCCCTCGGACTGGGGCTCCATGCAAGATCTCACCTCGTGGGGTATCACTGATGATAAGAAAGGTGAGGAATCAGCCCAGAGCTACAAGGGAGGAGCTGGTCAATGACATGAAGAGAACTGGGACCACAGTTTCAAAGGTCACTGTCAGTAGAACACTATGCCGTCATGGTTTCAAATCATGCATTGCACGGAAGGTTCCTCTGCTCAAGTCATCACATGTCCAGGCCCGTCTGAAGTTTGCCAATGACCATCTGGATGATCCAGAGGAGGCATGGGTGAAAGTCATGTGGTCAGATGAGACCAAAGTAGAACTTTTTGGTCTAAACTTCACTCGTCGTGTTTGGAGGAAAAAGAAGGATGAGTTGCATCTCAAGAACACCGTCCCTACTGTGAAGCATGGGGGTGGTAACATCATGCTTTGGGGGTGCTTTTCTGCGAAGGGGACAGGACGACTGCACTGTATTAAAGAGAGGATGAATGGGGCCATTTATTGTAAGATTTTGAGCAACAACCTCCTTCCCTCAGTCAGAGCATTGAAGATGGGTCATGGCTGGGTCTTCCAACATGACAACGACCTGAAGCACAGAGCCAGGATAACCAAGGAGTGGCTCCGTAAGAAGCATATCAAGGTTCTGGAGTGGCCTAGCCAGTCTGCAGACCTGAATCCAATAGAACATCTTTGGAGGGAGCTGAAACTCCGTGTTGCTCAGCGACAGCCCCGAAACCTGACAGATCTAGAGGAGATCTGTGTGGAGGAGTGGGCCAAAATCCCTGTTGCAGTGTGTGCAAACCTGGTCAAGAACTACAGGAAACATTTGACCTCTGTAATTGCAAACAAAGGCTTTTGTACAAAATATTAACACTGATTTTCTCAGGTGTTCAAATACTTATGTTCAGAAGTGCAAGACAAATACATTCTTTAAAAATCATACAATGTGATTTCCTGATTTTTTTTTTTTATTCTGTCTCTCAGAGTGGGAATGCACCTACAATGTGAATTTCAGATCCCTCCATGATTTCTAAGTGGGAGAACTTGAAAAATCGCAGGGTGTTCAAAACTTCTGTTCCTCACTGTACATCCTGGAAGTAGATGCGTCAGAAAATGCAGTTAGGGCAGTTCTTTCACAAAGGAAAGGGCTTAAAGAATTGATGCATCCAGTAGCTTTCTTTTCACGGAAACTCTCTTCAGCTGAAAGGAACTACGACGTAGGGGATCGGGAACTTCTGGCAATTAAAGTAGCCCTGGAGATACTTGTTAGAAGGGGCCACACATCCGATTCTAATCTATACAGATCACAAAAATCTGGAATACTTAAGAACTGCTAAACGCCTCAAACCACGTCAGACCAGATGGGCACTGTTCTTTTCCAGATTTGCCTTTCATATCACTTACACGCCAGGATCCAAGAACACCAAACCTGATGTGCTCTCACGCATGTTTGAGGATCCAAAATATACTCTGGTGGCCAGATATGGCTAAAGACTGTAAGACCTATGTAAAAACATGCACCATCTGTAACCAAAACAAGACCACCCAAAATAAAGCCTGGGGATTGCTCAGACCTCTGCCGGTACCTGACAGACCATGGAAGAGGATAGCAATGGATTTTTTAGTGGAACTTCCACCTTCCGAAGGATATATCGCTATCTTCATGGTAGTAGATCAGTTATCAAAGATGGCCCATTTTTTGCCTCTAAAGAGTACACCTTCTGCTTCTAAGACTGCTCGGGTCTTCATCAAGGAAATTGTCAGACTCCATGGAATTCCTATGAACATTGTCTCAGATCGGGGGGTACAGTTCATGTCTAGATTCTGGAGGGCACTATGTGAGACCCTGGAGATCGAGTTGTCTTTTTCTTCTGCCTATCACCCGCAAACCAACGGACAGACCAAACGGACCAACCAGACTCTAGAGCAGTACACATCCGGTGTTACACGTCTTTTGTCCAAGATGACTGGGTATCACTCTTGCCCCTGGCAGAATTTGCATACAACAACGCCAGCCATTCTGCCACCAGTCACCTTTTTTTTCTAACTATGGGTTTCACCCTACCTTTTTACCTGACCTGGTGCCGGAGACATCTGTCCCTGCTGCCCAAGATACGTTAAATGAGACGGTCACAAAAGCCCAGGAGGACAACAAGAGGGTCTTCGACAGAAGGAGAAGGGGAGAACTGATTCTGCACCCAGGAGACCAGGTCTGGCTTGCTACAACCAATCTAAAGATGGCATGCCCTTTGAGGACGTTGGCACCAAAGTTTGTGGGACCGTTTCCGGTAAGACACAAGATTAATGATGTCTCTTATGAGTTAGCACTTCCGGAATCCCTTAGAGTGCACCCAGTTTTCCATGTGTCACTATTAAAGCCTGCAGTACCTGATCCCTTTTCTAACCAAAGGTCAAGGCCACCTGAGCCTATAAATATTGACGGAGAGGAGGAAATTGAGGTCGAGGCTGTTGTGGACTGTAGGAAAAGGAGGGGCCAGACACAGTATCTTATCAAGTGGAAGGGGTATGGGCCAGAGGAAAATTCATGGCAACCGGCACAGAACGTACACCCCACGGACTTAATTCGTGAATTTTTCCTTAGCCACCCACAAAAGAAGAGCCAATTGGGCATCCGGAGGCTGCCCATAAGGAGGGGCAATGTCAGGGAAGGCCTGCCCTTAGTACAGGTGAAGCTCCACAGCGCACAAATATGCGCATGCGCAGGGTTCTGGCAAGCCGAGCAGATGTGCGGGCACCTGGACAGAGGCACGTGCAGTTGCACTTGTGCATGCGCACTCGCACATGGGGGCGCGCGCCTGTCATTAATGCTGGCACCAAGAGAACTATTTAAACTGACTGCTGTGGTTGTCTCATTGCCATATGGTCTTTTCCCCCTGCTCGTGTTTCCTGACTTCTGTGATTAATTCCTGTTGCCAAACCAGCCTGTTCCTGACTTCTGCTTGATCGCCTCCTGCCCTGACTTCTGGCCTGTCCTCGGATTATTCTTCTGCCTGCTCCTATCTTATTGACCTCCTGTTACTGAACCCGTCCTGTGACCCGACTATTCTCCTGCCTGCCGTTTTAAGCCTGATCTGTCTCGCCAATATCGAACCCGGCTCGACTGACTCTGCTTCTTCAGCACACGGTGCTCCAGCATCCATCCATCCTGCAGGGATACATCTGCACCCTGCTCTGGCCTGCTACTCATCAGCCCTACAGCTGTTACCGGACAGATCTCAGGCCCTCATACCCCGCCAAGCTCCTGCAACCGCTGTGTGAGATGGGGAAACAGCTCTCATTGTTTGAATACTGCTTGTGTGGAGTAAATTAAATGTTTTGACTGACATTCTGCAGTTTAGCCACAAGATGTCACTGTTTTTCTAACACAGCCTCAGACTGTATAGATATTTCTATATACATGAAGAGGTGGAGTTTTCACACAGAGTTGAGAGAACAGGAAGAGGAGAGAGAGCAGCCATGTTTAGAGGATGGTGAATGCAGGGGTTGTATGAGCTGAGAATCTGATGACATCCAGGTGTGAAAGCATCCC